TTTTTTTTTTTTTTTTATGAATTAGAGGTTGTTCCTCGATTTCGAAAAATTGGCAATTCCCGAGTTTGAAGATATGGAGAGTTGCAAGTTGGAAAATTGGGGAATTCGAGGGCTTGGGAATTTGAATGCTCAGGATTCTAGGGTTTGGAAGTTCGTAAGTTTAGAAAATCGAAGCTTTGGAAATTCGATGATCTGAGAGTCAAACGCTGAAAAATTCGGGAGTTCGAACATTCCGAAACTCGAAAATGCAAAGGCTCAGATAGTTAGGGAGTTGAAAATTCGGAAGTTTAAGAGTTCGAAGGCTTAAAAATTTAAAGACTCGAAAATTCGAGGATTTGGGAATCCGGAAGTTGGAAAATTCGAAAGTTTGACAATTCCAAAACTCGAAATCTTGGAAATTCAAAAGTTTAAAAATGCAAACCTTCGAAAGTTGAAAGATCTGAAAATTCAAAGTTTCGAATTGCATCGTAGTTAATCCAATACGAATTCTTTCTTTCTCCGTGAGATCCGAGTTCTAGAAGCGGAAAAGGACGATCCATCGCATCGGTGAGAAATTACACGACGGACAATCATTCGATGCCTAACAATCCGAGGAAATACGTGCGAGTTTTCTGATAGATCGACGCTGAGTCAGAAGCTATTTCTTAGCCTTCTTGTTTGCCTATCTGTGGAGTTCAAACAACTTCAGGTTTACTAGTTTATCCTGTTTGGATCTTACGATGCTTGCATGGTAAGGTAATACGAGTGATTCAAGTATAATCAAATTGTTGAGAGCGAATTTTAATTTATCAGAGTAACGCGAATTTAATCATTAAATTTTACAAATTTAATATTTTTTTAAATTATTAGAGTAATTATTTATTACTAATATTTAATTGAATTTGAATTATTATAGAGTAATATTTACTCTATAGAGTGATAAACAAAGAGAATACTCAAGCTGACTATTTTTTTAGATTTTTTGGAATATCTATCATAGGTAAAGATATTTAAATATTTTTGTCTATCTTCTCTAGAAAGAAGCAAACATAATTTTTACGATTTCTTTAATTACTGGATTTCAAAAACGTTGAAAGGTTCTTAAATATTTCTATTTCATGCATGATTTCTAGACACCAAAACTACCGGCGATTAAAATGCAAAACTTGTATCAGTAGTTTAGTAATACTACGAAAGACACTTTAATTTATATACTTTACGAGGTATCATTGAAATCTCTAAAACTACAGTACAGTAAATCAGTGTGTCAGAAAGAAAATGTTCTACAAGCATAATATTTTTGGGCTAAATTATCTATTGGATTCAGCTGCGAATAAAATATGATTCAGGAATCATTACTTCATTCTGCTCAATTTTTAGATTCAAAATAGAAAATGCTATAATTGTGACTATTATGAATTAACAAATTCCTGCACAAAAGAAAGCACTCTATCAATAATCTTGAATTATTTTCTACGCCAAATTCTCCCTTACGTAGATAACTCCTTAATCATTGTACTTCTTAAACACGTCGAAAAATTCCCAAATATGAATTTTGGAAATGACTGAAAAGATTCTTAACTAAAAAAAGTTCTCCAGAAAAGAGCGATCACAGACAAGATTAATCCATCTATTTATTCTTATCCCAATCCTCAAACTTCAGAAAACAATTAAAAAAAAAAAAAACCACCCCCGTCACGAAACGAGCATAAAATATGTTAAGAGAGAGAAGAAGAAAAAAAAACAACTCCGCGAACAAAATCCCCCAAGAAGAAAACATTCTATCCAGATGATCTCAAATTATTCTCAGGGCCAAATTATCCATCGGATTAGCCAAAAGTCCCGAGATCACGCGACACGCTGTGCCGTATATACACGCGGTGAACACGAAGCACCTTGATCGGCGGCGAAACACCACAGTTTCAGAGGAAGAACCGGCGATCTCGCTGGGAGACAGAAAGGGCCCGAAAAGAAAGGTAAGATTATTGGTGTGGAGGATGCCTGGCGGCAGAGACTCGATTAAAATTAGATCTAAGCCGATGTTTTTGAGATGGTCGAGGAGACGAGAGAGGTGGGGGCTCGAGGATTCACCGACGGGGGACGCCGCCCGTTCGTTTCACCGGCCGGTCCCTTTTTTCTCTCCTTCTCCCGCGGTAGCGGGCGAAAAAGAGAGACGGAGGAAAAAAGAAGAATCGAGCGGAAAAAATGACGGGCCTCTCGCTACCGTGGTGCGTGATCAGGTGAGCCTTCTCCCGACCACTTCTGTCGGAGATGTAACCCTCACACGTTGAACGAGAGGCCCCGTGTCTGTTT